CACCTGATGTGAAGAGCTGACTCATTTGAAAAGACCCTGATGCTGGGAAAGATTGAGGGCAGCAGGAGAAGGGGATGGCAGAGAATGAGATGGTTGGACAGCATCAAGATTCAACGGACAAACTCATGTCCGTTGGCTAAACTCCGGGAGTTGTTGATGGGCAGGGAGACCTGGTGTGCTGCGGGTCGTGGAGTTGCAAACAGTTGGACAAGACTGACCGACTGAACGAACTGAATGTAGTTGGAAATTTCAATACCCCCTTTCATTAGCTGAACAACTACAGAAACTAAGTAAGGATATACAAAACCTGAATAGCATTATGAACCAATCTGATCTGACATTTATAGAACACTCTACCCAACAGCAGCATAATATACATTCTTTCCAAGTATACACAGAACATTTACCAAAATAAACCATATTCTATACCATAAAGTGAGATCCAATAAATTTAAAAGAATTTGTATCATATAAATAATATTATTCAGTTTAGTTCAGTCGCTCAGTCGTGTCCAACTCACCACAGTTCAAAAGCATCAATTTTTCGGCGCTCAGCTTTCTTCACAGTCCAGCTCTCACATCCATACATGACCAATAGAAAAAACATAGCCTTGACTAGACTGACCTTTGCTGGCAATGTAATATCTCTGCTTTTTAATAAGCTATCTAGGTTGGTCATAACTTTTCTTCCAAGGAGTAAGCATCTTTTAATTTCATGGCTGCAATCACCATCTGCAGTGATTTTGGAGCCCCCAAAAATAAAGTCTGACACTGTTTCCACTGTTTCCCCATCTATTTCCCATGAAGTGATGGGACCAGATGCCATGATCTTAGTTTTCTGAATGTTGAGCTTTAAGCCAACTTTTTCACTCTTCTCTTTCACTTTCATCAAGAGGCTTTTTAGTTCCTCTTCACTTTCCGCCATAAGTGTGGTGTCTTCTGCATATCTGAGGTTATTGATATTTCTCCTGGCAATCTTGATTCCAGCTTGTGCTTCATCCAGCCCAGCGTTTCTCATGATGTACTCTGCATGTAAGTTAAACAAGCAGGGTAACAATATACAGCCTTGATGTACTCCTTTTACTATTTGGAACCAGTCTGTTACTCCATGTCCAGTTCTAACCGTTGCTTCCTGACCCTCATATATATTTCTCAAGAGGCAGGTCAGGTGGTCTGGTATTCCCATCTCTTTCAGAATTTTCCACAGTTTATTGTGTCCACACAGTCAAAGGCTTTGGCATAGTCAATAAAGCAGAAATAGATGTTTTTCTGGAACTCTCTTACTTTTTCGTATTATACCTACACTATAAAAGAAAAAAGTCTCATTATCAATGACCTAATCTTCCACCTAAACAAATTAGGAAATTTAAGATCAGGAATCAATGAAACAGACATAGAAAATACCAGAGAAAAATAAAAAAAATCAAAGTAGGTTCTCTGTAGAGATCAGTAAAACTTATAGGTCTCTATCCAAATCCATCAGGAAAATGAAGAGAGAGACACACAAAATACCAATATCTGGAATGGGCATAAGAGCTATCCATATAGTATATTCATAATTTCTTTGCCACTTCTACATTAAAGCGTTGGTGCCTCATCTCCTTTTTAATATGGATCGGATTTGAGACCTTGCTTCTAACAAACAGAATAAAACAGAAGTAAATGTGTAACTTTCCAGGCTGGGAGAGAAGAAGCACGGTGCAGCTTTCTGCTTAACTTCTCTGTTTTACCAGCCACTCAGGGGGAAGACAACTGCCCTGCTGTGATGACAGTCAAACATCACTATGAGAGGTCGACATGGTGAGGAACTGAGGCCTCTACCAACAGCAGTAAATCGAGGCCTCTAATCTATAGCTGTGTGAATAAGCAATATTGGCAGCAAAATTTTTTAGCTCTAGTCAAGTCTTTAGATAACAGACATCCTGGCCAACACCTTCACAGCAATCTCAGGAGAAACACTGATCCAAGATCATCCAGCTGAGTCACATCCAAATTCCTGATCCACAGAAAAGGTGAGATAATTTAATGTCTGTTGTTTTAAGGCACTAAGGTGTGGGAAAGTCATATACAGCAAAAGGTAACCAAAATAGGGAGCATCATTACAGATCCCAAAGCCATTAAAAGTATAATAAGAGAATATCATAAACTTTTAAACCAAGAAATTCAAAAATCTAGATGAAAATCCTCAAAGGAAACAAACTACCAAAGCTTACTCAAGGGGAGATAAAGAACCTGGTAACAAACACCTTTTAATCACACACAGATCACCCACAAATAAACAAGATTTTATTTTTACAAACATCACTGTTTATTCACAGTGCAATAAAACCAGAAATAACAAATTAAAATGAAAAAAGACATGCCATGAGAAAATTTTTAGATCTTCTATTAAATAACTTCTGGGTGCAGGGGAACTACAAATTAAAATTAAGTTCTAAAAAATAAAACATACATGTCAGCATCTACAGGATACCTTTAAAACGGTAATGAGGGAAAAATGCAAATCGTTAAAAACACATCAAGAAAAATATTTTCTCACTGGTCAAATCTGGGATAATTTAAACATCAAATAGGAAAGGATTATAATCCATTAGATAAATTACTTTTAAAATCCATAAGTCTGATATAAATAAATGGTAAAGGTAAAGTCACTTTACCACAGAATGCCAATTAATAAATACAGAAGAAAGAAAATCATTATTGGGAAACATCAATTAACTGATTGGAACAATAGTCAATGGCTGCTACAATGGAGGTGGGGGGGAGGGAAAAGAGTTTGATGTCTCAAAGTAGCTTCCTCTAAGTCCTTAATAATTACAAGAGGAAAATCTGGCAGATGCCACCTTAAACCTGTGATCAGAGATAACATCATCAATAATGAGACCTGCTGACATCCCATGCCCTAAAAAGGACAGGATATTCCTTCTGTGGCATATGTGTCAGAACTGCATAACCTGAATTTAACAATGAGCAAAGAGTCAAATCTAAATGAGGGACATTCTCCCTAATGACCAGCCTGTACCCCAAAAATGTCAAGTTCATGAAAAACAAAGGAAGACTAAGGAATTACTTCAGATTAAAGAGACAGGACAACTAAATGTAATGTGACATTTTACATCAGATGCTTAGGGGCGGGGAAGGGGTATAAAAAATGTAACTGGCAACAGTAACAAAATCTGAATTTGGACTTCAGATTAGATAATGGTATTTTATGATGATTAAATGTTCTGATTTTGATAATGGTACTGAGGCTATGTTATGGGTGTGTTCTTGTTGTCATGAAATACACACTTAAGTATTTAGGAATAAAGGAGCACTGTGTCTGCAACTTAATCTCAAACTGTTCAGGGATATGATGTGTGTACACACCCACCCACATACACAGACTCAGAATAAATCAAATGAGGCAAACAGAAAATGGTGAATCTCCTCAAATGTACACACAAATTTTTCCTACATCCTTGCTATTTTTCTGTAAATTTGAAATTATATACAAGACAAACATTTTTAGAAAAAACAAGCTCCACGAAAACAAAACAATGTTAAATAAGACCTTTAGGTTAGGATTTCAACAAGCTGCTTAAGCCAAGTAAAATGAAAATTGTAACTATAAGCAAGGATCCTAATAAAATTTCATCTAATCTGACTACCGATGGCTACATGTTTTCTAAGAAGCTTCAGCAGATTCACACAATACCTCTTCAACTTTTCTAAATGTTGTGAAAGTTTTCAACTCAGCAATTCAAGCCCAATACTTCCAACTGGGGAAGGAAAAGGTGGATTAACTTTATTCCAGAAGTAACAATGAAATTTAACCTTTCGTGATGAAATCTACTTTCTGTGATGGTCACAATGAATTTGAAAACAAATGAAGTTCAAGTGTATGGTCTATAATCTTCTTAATCCATGTAATTAGGATTAGTTCTACACCTAATATTCTTAGGAATAGGTAAAATTTTCATTTAGCATGTGAATTTAAATAATTCACTCAATATTCTTGATTGTATTTTGAGGAAACTTCAAAACATGTGATTCCTATAACATGGCCCCTATCCTCAAAAAATATGTGCGCTGATTGGGGAGAGGGCAAAATGTCGAATTTGTTCAGAAAGCAAAGTCTATACTCAGAATTCTAACCTAAGGTAGCTTGGTAGAGGAGGAAAACCTACGAGTGGAATTAGATATACTGAGTTTAAAGGAGTCTGTTGCGATCAAGGACAAGTAACTTAACCCCTCGCCCCCCCAATTCCCCATGCCGTGAATTACTACTATAAAACGAGATTTTTTTTTTTTTATTCCTGCTTCAAAAGGCTGAGGATTAGGCGAGGTATTGTAGTTGGAAAGTGCTTTGTAAACTTCAAAGCCCTACACGTGTTTACTATGTGTAATAAACTCCACAAGAGAGGCCACTTGGAATCGGCAAAGATAATTCGGTTGTCCTGAGTTCCTACGGAATACCGCAACTGGATGTGCTCTGGTACACTGGACTTGGCAGAGTCAAAATGAGGTTCTCCTCAAGAACGCTCTTTCTGCAGGAAATACCAATATAACGAGCGAGCGCAGACACCCCTCTGAATGGCCTCCGACCTTCGCGGAGGTGGGGGAATGTTAAGCATCGCGGCAAGCAAAAACTGACCAATTTTTTCAAAACTTGAAACGTGCGACCGAGGCTAACTTACGAGAGAGGGGCGGGGACGAGGGGGCGTGGCCCGCAGCCGGTTCCCCTCCCCCCCGCCCCACTCCCGTAGCGCGTGCGGACCTTCTAGCGTCTCCTGCGGGCGGTCACCCCGGCCCAGGCGTGTAACCGGAGACGAGGAACGGGTTTCCAGCAACAGCCCACAATTCTCAAACTTCTACTCTCCGAGGAGCCCTCGCGGGCTACCCTTCTCAAAAACCACAAGTCCGAGTCCCCTAACCCCTCAGGTCACAGACTTCCAGGACCCGGGCTGCGCCGCCAAAGAAAAGCTCTCCGAGCGAAAGAGCATCAGCCGGGCGAGTACCTGAGCCGAAATGAAGCCTTCATACACGGTTTTCTCCCGGTTCTGGGGCAGAAAGAGCGGAAACTGGCGCAGCAGGGTCGCTTCCGTATCCGCCATAGCTCGCGGTCCGTGGAAGCGAAGGGTACCGGCGGCCGCTGGTCCCGCACATGCGCAGTTCTGCCTGCGCCTGGGGCGCCGAGAGACGTACACACGCGCGTTTGGCGGGAAGTCTCGAGCTTTCCGTGGGCAAAAATGAAGGTCCGGTGGTAGTCGGGATGCCTGGGCTCAGCAACAGCCACAGTAAATTCGGCTCAGCAGGAAGTAGCATTGGCCCCAGCGCGAGGCAGGAGGGAAGAGTGTTTGCTGATCCTGACCGAACATGATCATACTAGCTTTGATTGTCCCAAGAACCGTGTTGGATGTTTCTATTACTCCAGACTCAAGTCAACACCAGACTTCTGCTGCGTTGCTCTTGCGAATACCTAAGGCAAAACAGGAGGGAAAATTACTGATGGACTTGAGGAACCGAATTTAATTTTTCTTTAACAACCCTTTCTATGTGCCGTGCTGTCACTTAAGTCCTGTCACTTACGTAGGACCAACACAAAGATTATGTGACCCTATGGATTGTGGCCAGCCAGGCTTCTCTGTCCGTGGGATTCTCCGGGCAATACATATTTCTAACTCAGGGATGGTAATTATCCATTCCTTTTTTTTTTTTTTTAACTAAGGGGTGATTAATAAGGAACCTAATGTTTACTGCACAGTTATTTGATTTCAATCAATATTCAATGCAGTATTCAATATTGCAGTCAATCAATATTCAGTCAATTCAGTATTCAATATTGTATTTTTGAACCCTTGTATTTGCTAAACGTCATTGTAATAGGCTACAGGTTGTGCAAAAATGAGTAAGATTCACACCCAAACATTTTGATTGCCCTCAAAATCGGATGAGACTTCTTCAAGATTCTTGTTTGACAAGAATTATAAGTTTTCTGGATACTTAGAGAAAAACAAGAATGTTAGCAGTGTAAATATAAATTACTCTAAAGCAGTGGCTTTCCAAAGTTCCTGGATCCATTAGCATCACCTGGGAAATTTTACGTCACCTTTACAGAAAGGCAAATTCTCACCCCTCTGTCTCAGACCTAGGGAATCCCAAACTCTGACAGTGACGCCCAATCATCTGTGTTACAACAAGCCTTGGAGGTACTATGTTGCACAGGCTAAAGTTAGAGAATCTCCCCAGAGGCATGGCATGCCATCCACTCAGTTATACAATTCATTTATTAAAGATGACAGGCTACAAGTTTTGTGAGGGGCATAAAGTGAAGGTCGTTAAAACAGTAGGACCAACACAAAGATTATTAGCGCGTATAGTCACTGCCTTCAAGGACTTATGAGTTAAAACATTTGCTGTTACCAAGGATTTCCCTGGTCCAGTAGCTGAGACTCCTCCCTCCCAATGCAGGGTTAGGGTTAGGTTTGATCCGGACTTCTGGTCAGGGAACTAGATCCCACATGCTTCAACTAAGACCCAGAGCAGCCAAATAAGTAAATAAATAATTTTTTAAAAAAGCATTTGCTGTTTCTGGTATTTCAAACATCACCACAACCCCCACCACCACGTTCCCCATGGAACTTCTCCCCTTCCTTTAAGGCTTTCTCAACTGCTACCTTTTTTTGGAAACCTTTTCTTAATTGATGAAAATTATTGCTTTCCCTAATCACTTGGTATATTTCTTGGTACACTGTAGGTGTTCATTAACTATTTACTAAAATGTTAATTGATATCCAGTAGTCCTATAGGCAGATTACAAATAAGTATTATGAGAATTCAGAAGAATTAAGGAACTTTTCACAAAATATTTAAGTTGGTTTCCATTTATTATATCATAATAGTCACAATAGTGCTGCATAGCACTATTATAGACTATCTGATTTATTTAAGTTATACTAAAACTAGCATATGTAAAGTACTTTCATATTTTATTTATATTTTATGGTAGTGTTCTTTAGATATGTATTTTTTATATTGTCTGTTTTGTATGTGAGTAAACTGAGATTCAGAGATATTAAATAAGTTGCTTAATATAGTAACTTAGTGACTTGTATAATGAAGATTAAATTCCAGTGCTCTAAATTTTAGATTTAATAAAATTTCCATTAAATCAGCACAGATGCACTGCCCATCATGAAACTCAAAAGAAGTTCATCTAAAGTTGTTAATGACTCATGCTAGCTGCGGGGTTTCAGGAATTTAATTTTGATAGTTTGATAATAGATTTACCAAAATAATATATTCCTTCTGAATATAATCATAACATTTTCTACCTACAATCTTTATGTGAGAAAATAGCCTAAGAATATTTTGTCCAGCAGGTTACTTAGGAACTAAAGTTTTTCCATTAAAGCAGCCTTGGAGAGTTTATACTACAGCACCCTCATTACACAGATTAGAGAAATGAAGTTCAGAAAATGTACTGTCCTTAATTATTATTGTATTTTATTTATTAATTTATTATTATATATTTGTTAATACCTAAATATCTTTGGTTTCCTGTTATCACGTATTCACAAAGGACTTTCTGGACTTATAAACTTCTGGAAACTTCCTAAATATCAGTTGACTCTTCCATGAACAGCAATTACTTGTCCAGACAAGCCATCTTTATTACACTCACTCCTGGCACCGATACGGTGAACTGTGCAGTTAATAGCCACACTGTTGCTTCCTTGCCTCTGAATCCTCATAATCAACCACAGATTTAGAAATTTTCACAAGATTTATTGTTAGGTATCATCTTAGTCCTTAAGGAAAAGATAGCCAATTTCAACTACCCATTCATGGTAGTCAAATTTGTAAGTGAGCATTCTATATTGGTAATGTCTGTCTGAGGAATCCAACCATCAGAGAACAAGGAGAGATAGCATATGAGGTTTTTTTAATTCAATGAGTCAATCATTCTCTTCAGGTGTTCAAGATTAAGTGCTTGCTCTCACTATCATCAATTTGTATATGATATGCTAGGACCATTGTTTACATGTAGCCCAGTCTAAAACAGCCACCCTCAAATTCACAGGGAATACTCAATATGTTTAAAAATCAGAAAGACAGCAAATTATCACTCTAACAAACTTCACACAGACCCTCACCAACGTTCAGGTTCTTCAAGATGTCTTAGGCATGACTTCTTTTACATCATGCTTAGTTGGTAAGTCATGCCCAACTCTTTGCAACCCCAAGGACTGTAGCCCTCCAGGTTACTTTGTCCATGGAATTTCCCAGGCAAGAATACTAGAGTGGGTTGTGACTTCTTATATATTCTGCTGCAAGAATTAGTAATTAAATGCTATTTCTTGGGGAAGAACTATATGTCCTAACATAGAAAAATCTGAAAACATTCTCATGATTGAAAAATACAAGTTCCAGAATAACATGTTTACTACTATATCATTTATGTTTAAATAAACTCAGTATATTTTTAGCAATGGTTACTTTTGGGGCAAGAGGTAGGAGATAAGGAATGGGGGTGATGGCCTGGGGAGACTTTCACCTTATCTGTAATGTTAAAAAACTTTAAAACTTTAAGTTAAAATTTTGTCTTAAAATTTTAAGCACTTGTACCATTCTAATTAGGGTCTATCACTATTTTATTGCCCAAATTTTCAGCTTTGTCCCACATGTTTCTTCTCCCAGTTCCTGTGAATATAGAAGTAGGCTGCCAATCATTGACGTTAGTGAGAATAATAAGGGAGAGTTTGCTTGAGAGTATTGAAGAAAGATGGTAAGAATGTTGGGAAATGTCAACATTAAGGAAGAATGGTGTAGAACAGCCATCTAAGAGCTCTCTAGGTTGGTGGCGAAAATGATGGAGTAGAAAGACCCTGAGCTTACATCCTCCCATGGGCACACAAAAATGACAAGTATTTACAGAACAATTTCCTATGAGAACAACCTGAAAACTAGCAGAAGTTTCCACAACTAAACATATAAAGAAGGAAACACAATGAGACAGGCAGAGGGATATTATACTCACGTGTTAATACACACACACCCTGGGTAGATAGATATCACTCATAAATGAGAAGATAATCACAACTGCAGAGTTCTCTATAAGGAACAAGTGGTCCAAGACCCACATTGAGCTCCCCAGCCCATGAGTCCTGACCTGAGAACATGAAATCCCCAAACATCTGCCATTGAAAGCCAGCAGGGCATGCATAGGGAAGTGCCAGAGGACTGTAGGAAATAGAGACTCTGCTCTTAAAGGGTGCACACAAAATCTCACAGGCTCCAAGTCCCTGCACAAAGGCAGTAATTTGAAAGGATCCTATCAGACACATTTGCTGATCTTGGAGAGGCTCTCAGAGAGGCAAGAGGCAACTGGGATTTGCCCTGGGGACAGTGATGCTGGTGAGATCTTTTGGGGGAGTGTGTTCCACCACAAGGACGCTGATGCTGGCAAGCACCATTTTGGAGTCCTTCCTCTTTTTTCCAGAAACTTTGTGCATCCACCAGTGAGTCACTGTCAGTCCTCAGACCCCCTGGTTCAAGATGTCAGCTATGCAGAGACCCAGCCCTGCCCACCAGCAAGCAAGCACTTACCACATAAGGTAGTGCGCTGGCAGCAAGATATGCTTAAAGTTGGCGTGCTTATCATTGTGCCCACAGTAGTTGGCCCCACCACAAGAGAAGGGGCCACACATCCCATATAAAGGGGGCACCTCTGGAGTATAGGGGACACCTCTAGTAAACAGAAAGGAGTGAGCTTTGGGGCCCCATAAAACCTCTCCAACATGAGTCCATTTCTCTAAGATCAGGGAAAATAAACAGAAAATTGGGTAACATGAGGCGAGACAGGAATGTGTTTAAAACAAAGAAACAAGTAATACTTCAGAAGAACTAAATGAAGATAAGCAATACACCCAATAAGTCCAAGGGAATGATTATAAATATGTTTAATGGATGAACATTGATGTTTATAATCATAAATCAAGAATGGATGAATGCAGTGAACAGATTAGCAAAAAGTTAGAAAATATAAAGAAGAACTAAACAGAGCAGAGGAACACAATAACAAATAAATAAAACACTAGAAGGACTCAACAGTAGGTTAGATGATACAAAGGAATGGATTTGACAGTCACTGAACTAGAAGATAGGGTAATGGAAATGGCCCCAGCTGAACAGAAAAAAAGGAAAAAGAATTTTTTTAAATGAGGATAGTTTAAAAGACCTCTGGGATTGTGATAATCTACAGATTCAATGCAATCTTTATCAAATATACCAATGGCATTTCTCATAGAACTAAAACAAATAATTCTAAAATTTGTATGGAAACGTAAAAGACCCTGAATAGCCAAAACAATGTTGAGGAGGAAGAACGAATCTGGAGATATAATGCACCCTGATTTTTAAATATACTACAAGGCCACAGTAATCAAAACAGTATAGTGCCAGCACGAAAACAGACACATAGATCAATGGAACAGAATAGAGAGCCTGAAATAATCTCATACACATATGGTCAATTAATCTATGACAAAGGAGGCAAGAAAATGCAATGGAGAAAACCCAGCCCTCTTCAAAAATGGTGTTGGAAAAACTAGATAGCTTCATGAGAAAGTATCAAACAGT